GCACCTCCTTGTTCGCTCATTAGTTTTATCCTGTAGAATCCTGTTATCGCAAGTGATAGTTTCTTCAATAATTGCAAACTATACATATGAGAAAGAAAATAAATGTTCATAAAATGTATAAATGAAAAGAAAATTGGTTCCTAGCAAGATATTTCAACTATTGGTGCCTGAAGCTTTCTAACTTGGCTTTCACTAACAGGCATTGTTTTATAGGTATTGCTACATATTATTATTCTAACAAGCAAGATACAAAATATATACTAAAATTGTATTCCTTTGATTTCCTATTTCAGTTATTTTATATAGTTGTCCGATTTTTATACCCTTGTAGAGGGTATTATAATTTCAGTCAGATGTTTGCAACGCAGTGAAGGAGACTTTCCCAAAAAAAATAAAGGGTTCTAGCCATGTCCGTCTGTCCGTCTGTCCGTTGTCCGTCTGTCCGTTTCTATGGAACTGTCTCTCGTTTTAAAGCTATCGCGATGAAACTTTTCCGAATTCTTTTATTGCAGGTAGTACATATGTCGGAGCCAGCCGGATCGGACCACTATATCTTAAGGTCCCATTCAATTATAAGAAAATTCATTGTAACTTTGTAGGAAGTAGGCGGTTTGATTCTTGACTACTTAAAAACAAAATTGAAATAAATCGAAACGCTGAATCTGGAATCCCTGGAACTGCACCGAGTGAGTATTCTTTATCTACAAGGGTTATGCTTGGTGGTGTCTTGTTTTTCATAAATTATATTAGATTATTCGAATTTAAATCTATGAATATTCCATGTCTTGAAAATTAAAAAGAATGATCTTGTTTTTCCCTATTGAAATGCAAATGTCCAGGAGAGTTCGTGTCAAAAACCAAAAGCGTGAGCTTGCTTTAAGCGAAAATTTTAATAAAATAAGTATAAAAGACTTTTAAACCAGGTCAGTTAGATAATTTTTTTGGGCGAATTCAGCAAAGATGATCGGCATCAGCTACTTGAAGATCTTCCTGGTGGCAGCTCTGCTGTCATTGATCCTTGGTACCAGCGATGGAACGAGTTAGTACAAACACACTCAAGAAACCAGTAATCACTCTAAAAGTCTTATCAATCTTTTAGACTGCGGAAAATTGTTATACGGCACTTGTAAAAAGAAATCCGCACAGCCTTGTCGACAGAGAGCCGATTTAGGATTCTGCGATAGGGATCGTGAAAAGTGTTGCAGGGCGGAGGGCAAGTAATTCTTCAATAATTGCAAGCTATACATATGAGAAAGAACAGAAATGTTTATAAAATGTATAAATAAAAAGAACATTTGTTCGCTAGCATTTGGTATTTACTTATTTAAAAAAACATTATATTAAAAAAAATTAAAGGTAGGTCCTTAAATAAAGGATCACGGATGCATGTGTTTTCTTTAGTACACTTAATTATTTGTTCTTTCAATCTGTATTAACATTTTTCTTTTAGTATAAACAGTGTGCATTTTGACAAATTAAGTGTCTTATGATTTTGAAACACACCTTACTACATATGTATGTTCACTTTTTTCGATTTCTCGGCTTGCGTATTTGGCGAATTATTTCATTTCAGCCAGCTGGCGAGTCCATAAAATCATATAATTCCCGCAGCTGGCGTTGGAGGCTTTACACCTTTCACAATCTGACATAAACTTTCATACCCAGATGTACTTTCGGTTTTAGGGCAGCCAAATCAAGCAGGTGATTAAGTTGACAAAGATTGAGAAATAAATTCCAAAAATATTGATCAGAGTTATGTAATGTCTGGATATAGGGAAAATATATGTATTGCTTTTTTAAGGCTGTATTAAATCCTTAATTAATTCATAAAAACAGTTTAATATACGACACTATAATTTTCAATTAGGCTTAGAGTTCCTGGAAGTCGAAGAGCGCCAATTTAAATCCTGTTTATCGCCTGTGATTAATCCCAGAACTCAGAACGTCATCCTCTCGCGATCTCGCATCCTGCAATCTCGGTTCCAAACATTTGCAGCGCATTAAGCTGATTAATTGAAGTCATCATGGACTGTGGCAGGCAGTGAGCAAGAAATTGTAGGCCGGAGACGCCGCCAGATTGCCACATAAATTCACTTAAGATTGCAACAAGCTCCGCCAATGGCAATTTGTAGACAGTGCCATCCACTGTGACTCTCTTTCGACTTGGAGTCTAACTTTGGATTGCATTGGATTGGAGGCAACTCTAACTGGGGGACACTTGAGTTCTGCACTCGGGGAAAAAAAAGATGCTTAAAAAAAGGACGACTAAATATAAATATGAATTAAAAAAATAACCCTTTTCTAAAAAAAGTTAAAATTATTTTTTTAATTATTTTATTACCTTTTAATACTATACAAACCGAATATAACATTCAAGGAAATTGGAAGAAAATTTTATAAATTGGTTTAATGAATTATTAAAAATATTTAGTTATACATTCTAAAATATCCATGAAAAATCCTTATATCAAGTAAATATCTGTATAGTATTACTTCGATTTTTTGAATAAACCTCCAAAAGTTTGAAGTTTTTTCCTGTGTGTAAGCCAGCATAGCATCCTTTGTAAATTATTAAAATTTTCAAGCCAGTTCTAATTCATTAAAATAAGTGCTTAATTTTTTTTACATTAATTTTTCCAAAAAACCTCCAAAAATTCATCGTTTTTTTCTGTGTGTAAGCCAGCACAGCACCCGGAAAGCAGCTGTGACAGACTGGCGGGGGAATGATTAAGCGAACATTTAGTGGCTGCTAATGAATGTGGTGCAGCATCGGCAGCCAAGTTGCTGTGTTGCAGTTGCAATTGCAGGGGCAGCAAATGTCACACGCGATGTTCGGGGTCGCGAACTGCTGGAAGACGACAAACGGAGGCGTCTCTGCAGCCAATCAAGAATCCAATGGGGCTGGCTGGCTGGCTGATGTGGCAATGTGGAAATGGAGATGCCACAAACTTGCAAAAATCGCACAGAAGAAGAACTCATCATCAGCTGAATTTGACTTTGGCCGCAGACAAACTGCAATTGACTTGAGCACTGCCATCGCCTTCGTCATCGCCCCTCCTTAAGTGCCGGCGCGTCATAATCCCACATGGTCTGGGTCTGGGTATCTGACTATCTGACTATCTGGGTATGGGTACGGGTCTGGCTTTGGATCCAGCCAGAGTATCTATATCCATAGTTTCCATTTCCAGGCTGCCTCGCTGGGCATCCGAGTCTGCGGCGGTGTCTGCCGTTTGCCGTTGACTCGTCTGGAATGCAGATGTGTGCAGTTGCAGTTGGACAAACGGCCAATCATCTGGCTAGGCACTGAGAGAAATTTGTAGTTAAATAAGAAAAAAATAAAGAAAAATGTAAATTTATATTTTCTATAAATAAAATTATATTTTCTAAAAAAAGAGTTTGTTTTTTTTAAGTAGAATTTAAAAATTTGTTTTAAAAACCCAAATTACCTTAGTTTAAAATACAATTTTGATTTTATATAAATATTTTTAACCCATCAAATATGGCTGGGAATGGTATTTAAAAATATAGATTTCTTTATAAAAAACAACGTCTATCTATGATAATCCCTGAGATATTGCTTCGTAATTTATTTTAAACATATTTTAAAAGAAATATTTTTAAAAATAAGTTTTAATTTATAAATTCTTTTTAGTGCTCAACCCACTTGCTGCTCAAGAGTTTTATATCAACAACGCTAGGCATTCAGTCAAGGAGTCGTCATCCGAGCAGTCGTCCCCATTCCATTGGCGATTCACATGCTCATTCTCATTCTGAAGCCCCCCTCCAATTTCATTCCCATTCCACAATTTCACTTCCCACTTCCTTGGATGCAGATGATGCAGCTGCGAAATTTACCAGATTGTACAAATATTACTTCTTCACTTGAAGACTAATTAAATTTGAATTTTTGTATTAAACGAGCGGGTGAAAGAGTGGGCTGGCGATGATGATGGTGACTCAGGGGAGGTTGACTTATAGAGGACCACTCGAGCTCCGAACTCCGACGCAGCTGCAGATGTTATGCGAGATCCCAAGGAGAGACACACTTGCAGAGGCGTTTTGCCCGCAGACAACTTGGACTCCCTGGCTCCCTGCATTGCTGTTTGCTGTTTGCCGTTTTTCTGCATTGGATTTGGCTACATATATATGGCTATATAGCCCCGATCCCCCAACTCGATTCCCCCATCCTCCAGCGAGCTCACTTTGCCACTTGGCTGGTGGTCCAAGGCGTCTAAATTTATGGCTTAATTTGGCGCTCTTGTTAAATGCGTGTGTTTTTCCATGTTTGCGGGGGGCTGGTGGCTTTGTAGGTGGGCGTTACTGTCAAATTTTTGGACATTTTAAGTGTGTTGTTCTTGCGAGTGGGCAAATATTTTAACAGTCAAAGTGCAGTTGCTTAATTGCCAAAAGGGATGGGATAAAAGGGGGAAGATGCCTAAATTGGAAACTAAACTATGGAAACTAAAAAGAACGAAAGATTATATAGAGATTTTAATGTTCTCAAAAATAAATGGTGCGTAAGTTTCAAACGTCAATTGATTATTACGAATCTCAAAATAGTTCTCTGAATTGTTATTCCCTGCGGTTTTAAATTTTTTCCTGATAAGATGAAAAAACTTTAATGACTTATTATATTCATAAGCTTGTTATATGTATTTGTATTATACATTATTTTTTTTTAGAAATAAGAGAACAGATTGTGTACTGGAGGATTTGGATCGAAATAAATAATAACTTCCATATAAAAAAAATTTCAGTTCTCTTTTGGCTGTAACATATGTCACATCGTCGACAAAATGAATTCGGTTTTTATTCTGATTTTTATGTGGCTTTTTCTGCGCGTGGAGTCCTCTGATCTCGATGAAAAAAAGTGTGAAGAATATTGTTTTGGCACCATAAAGCCTATTTTCGATTATTATAAAAATGCTGGTGATAATAACAAACAATTGTTAAGTGAAATCAAGTCCAAAAACGATCAAATCGAAGAGCAATTTAAACAAATGGAAGAAAAGGACAAGCTAATTCAGGAATTAAAAGATCTGCTTTTAAGAAGTTCTTGTCCCATCGAAGGAAAACCAGGCATTGATGAATGGATTCCAATACAAAGACGATTCGATGGAAGTTTATTATTCAATCGAACCTGGAGTGAATACAAAAATGGTTTTGGCAACTGTCGCGGGGAGTTCTTCATCGGTTTGGAGAAGTTGCATAATTTGACCAGATCACGACAGTATCAACTTATGATCAACCTGAAAGATGTCAATGGATCTTCCAGTTGGGCTCTATACGATGACTTTAAAGTTGGCAACGAAAGTGAGGCATACTATCTGAAGTCTTTGGGTGAATATAGTGGAACAGCCGGAGATTCCCTCACGAGAAGCATTCCCATGAAATTCTCCACTTTGGATAGAGATAATGACACAGATCCTGACGAAAATTGCGCTAAGCGATTGGGTGGCTGGTGGTTTTATCACTGTGCTAAGAGGTATTTTCTATATTTAATATTAATATATAATAATTATTTTTTCTCAATTTCAGTTCGCTCAATGGAGTATATTATAAAAACGGAACCACACCCAATATAGATGGCATCTTTTGGTCATCTTGGAAAAGCAATTATTACACCATCTCCATGACCTTCACTGAAATGAAAATTAGAGCTAAACATTAAATAAAAATTTTCAATTAACTAATAAAAAAAAACTTGTTACAAGTAAATGCAATAATATTTGCTTTAATTTTTTGTATTTCTTATATTTTAATGTATTTTTTATTTATTATTATTTTGTTTGTTTTTTTTATATATTTGTTTATTTTCTATTTACATGAAAATATGTTCCAATGACCCAAAAAAGGAGCTAGAGAAATATCCCCCGAAACACATGTGAATACACTTTATGGAGACACTGTAATCCGCTTGTCAGTTTGGCCGTGGTAAAAACATTTTCGCATATCGATCGATTTGCATAGAGTTTTAGAGCCGAAGGTAGGGTTCATTCGCAGCCGCGACTGTCTGGCTTTAGCGTCTATTTTGCGATTGGTAATCGAGGATTGTCCGAGATACTGGGTGAATGTCTTAACTTTGGTGGACAGAGAGACCAAAATGCGGGGGCGTTTTGTGGCCGAACCTTTTCTAATTGTCATGCGACGGGGCAGCTCCGGATGTCAACAATGTTCCAGCGATGTCGAGTTGTTCGATGTGCGTGCCTTGTAGTGGATACCCATAACCAGATGGTCTGCTATATAGCATATATTTTTCAGTGTCAGCTGGGCCTGATTTGAATGCGCGTTTGGTCGGGCTTTGGCCATTTTGGTGGGCCCATTGGCCCATTCGATTGCCGAGTTGGCCCGCAAACAAATCGGGCTGCAATTAAGTCAAACAAAAAAACAACCGCAACAAGACAACAACTTGATGTCTGATGTCTGAGCTTTAAAAATAGCCACTCCTTGTCTGTCTGTCTGTCATTCTGTTTTTTATTTTTATTTTTCCATAATTATAATTAGCCCCAGCCGGAAATCGGTCAGCCACTTGACGGCCTTTTACGGATTTGTCGCATAATTGAAATTTAATTTAGGTTAACAGGGGGCTGGGCAAAGGAAATTTTATAATTATTTAAAATAAAGAAAATGTTAAAAATAAACTAAATAAATTTGTAAATATTTAAGATATTATTATCTTTTTTGGGGTTTTTGAATGGTTTTAAAATTACTTATCAATTAAATGTAAAATAAATGCTTTACTTGCAACACTTAGCAAATAATTATAAAATATTAAAATTTAATTTATATGAATTTATGTAAAAGCATTTTCAATTAAATATTTTCAATTTAAAATATTAATAACCATGTAATATTAACCGTTTAATTTTCTTGAGGGTATTTAAGTAAACTATTTTGCATACAAATAAACCTCGTTTCTAATTTATCATAGAGTGAAGTATAATTTTATAATGACTGATCTTTATAGATCTTAATTTTTATTTTACCAAAAACTAGTTCCAAGTGTTAAATATGTAAATTAAATATATTTTGTCGTCCAGTTCCTCTTAAAACCAAGTGTGTATGTGGGGTGTTGGGGGTGTGTGCCAACTCGTTTGTCGTGCCAAAAGGTGCAAAAGTTATGATTTATTCGATTCGAAAATAAAGATAACACTCAGTCGGGCTTTTCATGGGGGGGCAATAGGGGGCAACGTCGTGCTGACGCCAGCAGCGCTTTAAGTCTGGCACAATGGAGGTGACAAATCTTGGCCAGCCAGTTGGATTAGACACCTGCGGATTTCGAATTGCAACACCAGTAGAAGCAGGAAACTAGGATTGCCCAAACTCAAACGGTCATGGATGGATGAGATGCATCTTGAACAACGAACATCTTTGCATGAGAGTGTGAACACGGGTCCACAGAAAATCCAAACAATCTACATTATGTTTACAAGGGGAAAAATATTATACACTTTGACTTAAGAGATTATTATGTTAAAGTCATTCTAAAACATTTTTAACGTTTATTTAATGTGCGTTAAACGTGCTTTTAAAGACCTGACTAAGAATTTTCAATTAACCAAATTAATAACCAAAATAAATTATTACGAAATTGAGTACTTAAAAAGTTAATCGAGCAATAACCACTTATGCTAAGTATTAAGATACAATCTAATGATTTTTTTATTGATCGTTTATAAGTATGCCATTTATATTAGTGTACATAATAAATAATAATATTCTAAATATGATTGAGTGCTTGACTAAAAATGTCATTAAAATGGACTGCTTATAAAACTTGAATGATAAATTGCCATGCAAAATTAATTACTAATTGAACATTAATAATTTAATTCTAGATAATAAATAATGTAATATTCTACACATATGGCGAATAAATATGATATTTCATTAATGGTAAATTAATATATACTAAAAAAATAGATCAATGCTGATTTAATTATTTTAAAATAAATAAATATGTTCCTTTTTTACATAGAATAAATTTTACTAAACACTAAAAATTTTTAACAGAATTGATACTGCATTTCTTCAACTTTTCTTGGCCAAAAGAAAGTTCTTAGCATATTTCAGCATCTAACCCGACCGCTTTTTCTGTAAAATTCTTGACTTCCCGCATTAAGAGAAAGAATGATGAATTTCCATCAGCATAATTTCCTCGCTGGATGCTACGTGACCTCATACCGAAAAAATCCAGGGACAATTGAATCTCGGTAGCCTGCGAGCAAATTATAGATGCTCCTTCTCCACTTTGTTGGGCAATTTGTGCACAGTCCAATCTCCAAGGGAGCTGCTAACCCAATCAAGCAAATTGATTGCACCGCTCGTTTCTAGGACACAAAACAAGGAGGCGTTCGCTCCCATGACCGTTCAAATCAAACAAATGCCTCAATTAAGTTTGTATAACCAAATTGAAGCGACACACGACCTGGACGTGCGTCAATTAGGCAAAAGGCTGCGATAGGATATAGAAAATGTGTGGGATATGTAGGACGGCTATGTCCATGGCGATATGGTGGTTGATCGGTTCCCCCGGCACACGCCCACTTTCCCGGGAGGCGGCCACGTGGCCGGGAATTTGTGCACTGAGTCAACAAGGCGTCGGCCTGGGATCGGACCTCATTATTCTGGGCACTGAAAAAAATAATTACCTCGAAAAAGTACTTTATAAGACTTAAGAACGGATTAGGTAAAAAATTCCTAATGATAAAAGTGGATATTAAAAATGTTATTTATAAGAAAGACAAAAATGTATTATATTAACAATAATTAAAAATGTCGTCTTTAATTTTTCAGAGAATTTTATTCTTATTAAAAATCCAAATATTATAATTGTTATTGCTAATTTTGAATGATATGTATAGAAAGTGTACTTAGTTATTGCAATACATTTTTTATGTTTTTAATGGATTGTTTTTAATATTGCTTGAAATAAAGTCAAATCGAATGTTAACTGAATTGGAACCTTTGTAATCACCTCTAAGATGTTCTATAATTTTAAAGATTTTTTTTATAAATTTTAAATAATTTTTTAAATTAATAACACAGGAACACAAAATTAAACTTTGTGAAATTTCCACGAACCATTTCAGTTTTCCATGATATTTGGGTGCTCCTGAAAAGTCCCATACAAAATTATTTTCCATCACCTACGGTTCCGCGGTATAGCTGAATACAAAAAACCGGTGTTGGTCGACATTTTGAATTTGGCCTATATAATTGGACTAACCTTTGTTATTTTGTACCTACCTCAAATCACGGCATTCTAAAAATAGTCCCATTGTGAACCATTGCCCATGTCTTTGGATTCGCAGTTGAAAATCCCATTGTGAGATTTTTCTGATGTAAAAACATTCTGATTAAATCTTGAATGGAAGTAATTTTAACTTTCATTGTATCTATTGTTCATTGTATGCTTTAATTTCGGCTTAAAACGTTTCATGAGAATATTTTTATTGGATTTCTTATACTAATAAAACCGATTTTTTATTTCATTATCTACTCTAATGTTGTCAAATTTTGAATAAGTCATGGCAACCTCTAGAAGTAAGAAACAAAAATACGTTCACTGAACATACATAGAAAAATGTAAATGTTTACTCCCATTCTGTAGGATGCCTTGACTTTTTTAAAATTTGACAACATTTAGGAGTAGATAATGAAATAAAAAAATCGGTTTTATTAGTATAAGAAATCCAATAAAAATATTCTCATGAAAACGCTTTAAACCGAAATTAAAGCATACAATGAACAATAGATACAATGAAAAGTTAAAATTACTTCCATTCAAGATTTAATCCTCAGAATTGTTTTTACATCAGAAAAATCTCTACAATTTTGGGATTTTCAATTTGGCGTCGAATTCCAAAGACATGGGCAATGGTTCACAATGGGGACTATTTTTGGAATGCCGTGATGTATTGGAGTAGGTCCTACCGAAAATAACAAAGACTTTTATAGGCCCGTAATTCAAAATGTCGACCAACACCGGTTTTTTATTCTTAGCTATACCGCGGAACCTGTAGGCGATGGAAAATAATTTTGTATTCAGATCACCCAAATATCATGGAAAACTTGAAATGGTTCGTGGAAATTTTTGGCTGTGTACCTGTGTAATTTACTATCTAATCTTGCTATAATTTATTTTGTTGAGTGTGACCTGTGCTCAGGTAAATGTTGAACGCAACGGGGAACGGAAACGAGCCAGCAGCTGCCTCGAATTCCTAAAGCCACGTGTCAGAAATGCACGTAGTTCCCCCAGCCCGTTTCCCTTCCCCCTTATATACCCCTAAAAATATATATATATATATTTCCCCGATTTTTTGCACTCCCTGAGCTCGTGTTGTGTCAGCGAACAAATGTCGCCAAGCGCTGCTTGACCCAATTGCCATGCTGGGGTCATGATAATTTCAGGAGCTTTGGCTTTTGTGTATTTCGTGATCGTGAGTCGAGTTCAGCTACGATTTTTTTCCAGGCTGAATCTGAATCCAAAGGCGCTCTTTCTGACGGTTGCAGTTTTTTTTTCTTGGGTTTTTTGCACGTGGTCTGGAGCCCCAAAGACAACAACTGCAATTCGATGGCAATTTCTGGCTCGTTTCGGTTTCCCATTTGCATAAAAATCAAAGTATAGAAATGCAATGTCTTTTGGCATGGATTTATGGCAGCGCCAAG